CTTCCATCAGTTTGTGGAGCGGTGGCAGCCGTGCAGGCGAAAGGGCAGATGGGGCAGCGGGCGTCGGAAAATCAACTTATCCCTGTCCCTTCCTCCCCTTTCTTCGTCAGCAGAGAACCTGTTCCTCTTCCCAACAAACTGAGTAGACCAAGCAGTTCACTGATGGATTCAGAAGTCAGCCTTTCCCTTCCCAAGGACACCAATTTACATTTCTCTCCTTTGACAGCCACCCTTTTCCACAAAAAAACAGTGGGAACTTCATAAACTTTAGATATCTTACTCTCTCAAATCAGGCTGAAATAAACATAAAAAAATTAAACATAAAATCTTATTTTTTTCCACTATGAGGGTGGTCAAACACTCCACCCTCAGAGTTTTTCAGCCCTGACAGGGGGCTGGACCAGACAATCTCCATCCGTCCCTTCCAAGCTCAGCTGTTCTGTGAGTCTGCAGCTTTGCTGGACTGTTAAAAAACCCTAAAAAACTAACAAAGAAAACCAAACCAAGAGAGTTCCCATCAAAGAAAAATTAAAAGGGTCAGGGACCAGTTTCAAGGGTTAGGGCAGCGCTCAGGGCCAGGAGGCACGTAAACAAAAGAGTAGTAAAACCATGACCTTAGCTTTCATCATTTATTCAGGAATGTAAGTACAATTAATTCCACTCAGGAATGTAAGCAAGAATACAGAAGTGTCACGTGGCTAACAATACTCTTAAAAAAAAAAAAATAAGGCATCAACTATAGTATAAATACTCAAGATAAAATACCAGCCTCAATGGTTTTTAACTCTCCCATTTTAAGTATTATGAACAGAACATAGGCAGAAGCATTAACAGCGTTCCAACAGTGGATTTGCAACTCCAAGACAACAGGGAACTCCTTGCTTGTTAATAATCCAGGAGCTATGACCAAGATGCTCGGGTGTCAGATGAGAATGGGCTGAGCTCACATTCACACAACTCATTTCACATTTCCTTGTTTGTCGAGTTCCGCAAGAGGAAGCTCTTTCAAGTCAGTGGCTTTCACATTCATCTTGTTCATCTGCGAAATACTCAGTGCTGCTCTGTAAGACAAAAGTAAACTATTTAGCAACACAGGCAGAAAAAGGCTAAAAAACATGTAACGTTTAATGAATGATTTTTGCGAGTGCTCTGTAAATCTGCTTATTCAGGTTGTCACCAACGTTTCTGCGCTACTTCAGACTGACAACAGTCATTTGCTAATCCAGCCTTAGGGTTAGAGAGACAGAATTCTTGAGTTAAAACTTGCTTTTTTTTTAAGAACTAGGAAAATTCTTTTCTCTAAATAGGGATAGGTGAATTAAACAAAACATTTCTGTTGTAAGACTAGATCACTATTTCTTCCAGACCATAAACACAACCGTATCCACTTCAGTACCATCAAAAGCAAGAAAAACTCCCAGAGACATGGGAATTATGTGTGGAATGTAACTAAGGGGTCAGTTTCTTATATTAAAGTCAAAATTCTTCACATAAAAGCAGGACTTACTAGTGCTTGAGAGTGAAAACAAGATTTACTGTGCATCATAGGCTCTATGTTTTTTAAATAACAGAGCTCAGAAACCATACCTAGGTCTCAGCCTTATTCAGCTACTGTGAGACTTGGTCCTATTGTACGAGGGGTAAAATAGCCCTTGTTTGTAAGCTGAATTTACTTACAATATCTGCATTTTCAGAAAGTAAACCAGGTTAATTCATTCCTCTCTGAATTCTAGTTAGTAACTTGATATGTTTAAATAGCACAGAGCTATGAGTTCAGTATTGGAGACGGAGAGATGGATTCTGTTCCCCCACCTAAGTAGGTGGGGACTGGGTGTATGTGTGAGAGATCAGGCAAGGCAAAAAACCCCACCCAAAACGAAAAAGAAAACAGTGGTAAGACTATTCTTCCAGCACTTACCTTCAGGGGAACTAGGGACTGTAGGTCCTGAAGATAACAGCTAAAAATTAACAGGAGATATGTCAGAATTTTGTTTAGAAATGATATTTTTTACAATTTCATTTCTGCATTAGTAATTGCATTTTACTATCGGATGACCAAGGATCTTGCAGCCACTGAAGTCAACAGTAAAATCTTAGGCATCAACCAAATCCTGGTTTCAAATGAAAATAAGTTTAAAATGGATACAGAGGGATTTATATGCAAGTCAGATGAGCCTCTTCAGCTTTCTCCTTTGCATTCCGGTACGAAAGCACTGCACGTGCAGCGAAGGAGAAGGATGGCTTTCCTGCTCTGAAGCAACCTTCCGAGGGTGACAGCTCTGACAAGCTGAAGGTAGCTGCATCTAACACTCCTCCGCCAGAAATACAGCGCTGACGACAAAATCCCAGGGCCTCGGGGACATCTTGCCATTCTTTCTGCCTTCAAAACACACTCAGTGACAACACAGGGACCGATACCCATTAGAGTGGCCTCAGCAGCTGCAGTATAGAGCTATGGTTTTGCACTAGGCCTGGCTTATGCCAGCTCTGTCTTAAGCGCTTCAGAATTAAATAATGGAAAGACAGAACTTGAGAGCATTTGTCAAGGTAGGAGAAGATACTTGCAGACAAAGAGCGAATGAAGCTGCAAGATCCTGGCTGGCTTTCATGCAAACCAACATAAAGGGACGGAAAGCGAGGAGTCTCGTGACAGAAGAATAGTGGGCAGCAAGAAAACACGTAGAAAGACATGACGCCAGTAAGATAATTACACTCTATTAACCTTCTTTAGTATTTTGCTTTTAATATGAGCCCCAGACCAAATCTTTGCAGATAAAATTATATTAGAAGTTTGTGCTTGGAGTAGCTACGGGAGAATATCTGACTTGTTAAAAAGTATTATTTGGATCTAGGTTCTGCTGCGTTACAGTTAGCATATACTTACTCATATTCCAAAATTTATTTAATATTTTACAGGGAGTTAACGATTTCTCTCTATTTTGATATACATTGGTGTGAATCCGTTACCTTCTCACTCCCACCCAAACGCGTTAGCATTAGACAGGAGCGATCAACTGTGTCTCTGAAAATAAACGTATTCCAACTGAAAACTAAGGGGAACAGGGTCTTCCATCAAAGCCAATTTTTCTTTCATGGACAACTGAACTGGAACAAATCATAAACTTAATCAGAATACAATAAAACCAGAAAAGGTTTATTAGAAACTTTAGTGCCATTTCTGAAAAACTCCATTAATTTGAGAGGTATTAAGTCACAAAACCAGCCCTTCTGACTTCAGCTGAGCTGCTCAGGATTAATGGGTTCTGGAACACTGACACTCTGTGGCCTAATTACCTCTTCCAGTAGCAACTCCAACAGTTTGGCAGGTTAACTGCTGTGCTGCAGCCTGTACTTCTGACAGAGGTGCGAAAAAATACCCACAAAAAAGAGACCTGATAGATTCAGTTCCTAGTGTGATGATATTTACAGAAGAACTTGCTGTTAGTTTCCATGAGAAAAGGGTTACACAAATAGTAGACTCCTGCCTTCCTTCAAATGAAAGCAAATTTACAAACTAAGTATTTCTGAAAAAAAAAAAAAAATCAAGCATAAGACTGCTTTAACATCAGTGCTATATGTGAGTCAACAGAACGAAGATAAATTATTCAATAAAAAATATTTCACTTAAAACCTTACATTTCTCCATAACAGTTTAATCCTTTTTTTTTGTTGTTTACGAAATACACATAGTACAAGAAAATCTTTATCTAGAAAATCTAAATATAACTCAAGAGACAAGAGTCTCCCATTTAACAAAATGTGAAATTATTCTTGGCAGCATATCCTTGGAACACTGGGAGAGAAAATATTTTTTTTCCTTTCTGTGACATGTAACTACTATCTTTTAAATCATTATATGGTACATTTTAGCTGTAAAGACTTACCAGTAACTTGTCTAGAGCTGCTGAGAGATTGAACAAAATCTCAGGGCGCTGCCATTAGAACATTAAAATGGGAGCTGAGAGCTGCAAATGTGTTTTAGTCGCACCAGTTCTGTCTTTGCCACTAGACTATCAAGTGGCTTTTTCAATCTAAATCACTGTATTTGCGAAGGGACAAAATTAATGCTCTCACAACCTCTTCAAAACTGTAATGAAGCAGTATCTCCCCTTAGGAGAACGTGTTGTTTGTCTGGGTTTTTTTTTAATAGATAGATAGGCATTAATATACTGAGAAAAACTTACTTCTTTGCACTAACAGCAATTCCACCCCGTATGTTACGGTGCTTTGCTTTTAACTTGCTCACTTTAGACGATGAAAATCCATTTGCCATTTAAAAGCCTTTTGCCTGTGAAAATTGGTTTCACTTTCAATTTCTTTAAGGGGGCTACTTTTAAAACAAACATCAGTATAAAACTGGGACACAGCTGTGCACAGAGGCATCAGTTTCCATGAGACAATTCAAATATGCGTCACGCCGGTCATGCTATTATGGTACTACTTCAACTCGAAAACTGAATACCAGTAGCTTAACTGGTGAGAGATGAGTCAGGCTTGGGATTTAACAAAAAGAGCTCCAACCTTGCAAACACTTCTCCAGGTAAACGGTCTTCTAATAATCTTCTAAGAGTCTGCATGTGTAACCGTTTCCAGTGGCACTCCTCCCACTGACATAAAGGTTACACAAATAACATGTGCATTCACAGGAGTGAGACTCGAGTGATTAAAATGAAAATCCTACCTCAAGATCAGCGTGTTGCTGTAACGCCTGAACCAGCTTCGTCGTGTTCTCTAGAGCAGCGCGGATGCTCTTCATGGATTCTCTCTGCTCTACGGAAATTTTCTCCAGCCGCATGCATAACGTTTTATAATGAGATTTCACCACTGAGAGTTCTTCCAAGAGAGCGACTGGATTTTCCTACGTAGAAATTAAAAGTACATTTAAATTATTTAAGAAGAAAAAAACGAAGCCATGTACCAGTTAAAAGTGTAGGCGTTAGACACACTAAAATCCAACATGAAATGACCCTTTTACAATGAAAAGCCTAGCTGTGAGCATCTGCTTCATCTATACATTTAAGTTTTCATAAACAAAAATGATAGATGGTGTTAATAAAACAGCAGGACTCTGGTTCCACAACAAATACAGGAGGATGAATTTACTGTGTTGGTGAATTTTAATGGTTTTTTCTGAGTTGGAATAAGTTAGGGACTTCTAACTAAAAAGATTATTTTCCCTCTACATGTTAAAATATACATGGAGACAAGGACTTACTTATAAAATTCTTTACATTATGCCATTTATTGTTTTCCTTTCCCTCTCATCTCTCCCTCAAATTTGAATTTAGTCATTGTTTATTAGTAAGTTTATCTTTGACCTTAGAGCAAGGGTGCATATTAGCTCAGATTGGAATCTGGCTCTTAAATTTAGGTGTTAACACTACTACTTATTTCTCAAAGCAAAACACGGGAGAATTTCACCATACCAAGAAATCAAGGGAGTTTTTCTGAAGTCAAATTAGGTGAGTCGTCTTGATATATGATGCAAAAATACTTTATAATAAAAAACCTAACTACTAGATGAAAGAACAGCCACATCTCTTTTAGGATTAAAGAAAATTACCCATTTATTACCAACTTCAAGCAAAATGCAATAAAATCAGTTCACATAATCTGAAAATACTACCTCTGCTGCTGCTGGACTATCAGGAAGACTTTTCATTATTTCAAACTCCAGTCTGTGTTGAATATAATCCAGATCGGATTCTGCCTTCTGGAACTAAAATATTTAAGGTCAGCCACAGTACATTAAAAGACAAAAATTGCAGACAAAACCCAACCATTTGCGTTTCCTGTATTTCAGGAAAGCAGCAGCCAGATGCCTCTGTCCTGAAGGCTCATGTGCTACAAGAGTAAGTCTCTACTACTCCAAGCTACTCCATCAGCCAACGTTTGCCCGTTACGCTGACACGCTTCTAGCCTGAAAACTAGAAAGTGATAAACTTTCAAACTTAACATCACTGTTTTCCTCCCAAATGCAAGAGTTACATGTGTGCGGAGACACACGCTGCTATTAATTTTTCCCTTTTTCCATTTGTCTGACCCAAACAACCCAGCTGCTCTCTTTGCATCTTGCCGCTAGAACCTTTTTCATGCAGCTCCCCACAACGCATGGAAGCGTTTCCAGCGCTCCCTGATACACGGCCTTGCTGTGCCCAGCCTCTCACCATGAAGTCTTTAAGCAGAAGACCACAGAGGTAAGTTCTAGCAATAGAAGAGAACGTGCATCTTTTCTAAACTGATCTTCGCTGCACGCAGGAGGTGTTTGATCTTTTCCTCTGGAGATATTAACATATTTTCCGTCAATTTTTGGAGCTTTTTCTGGGCTAGTTGAGCTCTTTTCCGAAACACTAAGAAGTTCTGTCAGCAATACTCAGTTATTTACACAGCAGAGATAATGAATAAGTGTTCAGGATCCAAGCATATCAACAGATTTTATTATTAATTATATTAGGGATGCATTCTCTCAGATGGTTATAATGCCCATAATACATTTGATTATTCGCCAGTAAACCAGACTGACAAATAGATAATAACATTGACGACATCACATTTCTTTCCTTGGGACAAATAAGCCACCAGAGAATTATCTAATTGCCTTGTAGAACAGTCTGCTGATAGCATTATTACTTAATTAATTTTAGTCTGCAATTTTAATATCTATTAAGGACCTCTGCTTTAAAGAAAGGCAGTTTTCCCAGTTCACAAGCAACTTCTGCATTTTTTAATGTAATAACTTGGTGATTTTACAGTCACAGAAGAGACGACGACAAAAGCAAGTTAAAAATGCTTGTAGCCTACTTAACTTGGTTTTCACTATTTGTATTGAGATTAAACCTGCAGTAACCATTTTGACTTTTTAAAGGACCAAAACAAGGCTCGATTTGTTAACTGTATCCCCGAGCACCAACTGGCAGTGCTGTAGCGGTAACTAAAGTAGCGTTTGGACGTAGCCTGTAGTCAGGTCTGGACACCAAAAGGATGTTTGTGTTTTAAGCATCAGCCTTGAGATCCACCTTCAGGAGCGGCCAGGAATGCCTCTGAGGATCTGGAACTTCACAGAGCCTCAAGGAATGGTGCTCGATCCAAGGCATTCTACAAGTAAAATCCCCTTTTCTGGTGTAGCGAAAACGTATGATGTTTCACAGATGTACACACCTTCAGTAAATTTCCAAATAATAGCTTAAGCAAAGGAAAGCAAATCTGGTAAAGCCCCTGAGCATCTATAAATCAGAGGGAAAGCTTTCACCCGTTACTCCCATAACTTACCATCTGCCCAACAAAACTCCTTCCCACACCTCACCCAGAAACCAGACATGATAAAATGCGAGAATAAAATGCTTTTTATTGCACTATGTATTTTTTAAGGAGTTCATGAGGGATTTTTTCCTAGCTGCTCAATGGTTTCTGTTCTCCGCCACAAGCAAACAATTCTAGGTTTTCATTTCTAGAGACGCCCCAAAAAGATTTTTTTATTTTTTTTTGCTTTTCTTCAACTCTTCTGTATGCTTATTAACTATTAGGAAAGCAGACAATGAACATGGGCGGCTTTTAAAATGATCCAGGAAGCTGCTCTGCTCCTGAAATATTCCATACGGATAATTTGAGATTTACAGAATGCCAGAAAGCCACAAATACCATACTACTATTATGATTCAAGACATTAAAAATAGAATGCGAAGCTGAATGCTTATCCATGGTGTGGCTACAATTTTAAGATTCTGCTTAATGAAAATATTAATAGAGTTCAGTATGAGTGCTTTCTCTTAAAAATCTGCTAACTCCAAAAGAAAATATCAGCCATTTCCAAGCATGTTTATAAGCACTGCTTCCTTTGTTCCTCCATTAGGATCCATTTTTTTCCTTTATTTTATAAATACTTCTTGCTGTATTTCAGGAAACACACATCTGCAAAAAATCTCACCTTAGTGCTATAGGTTCGGACCATTTGTATGATGAGTGTTGTACCACGATCACACCAGAAGGCAGTTTGCGAAATGTAAATCTCTACTTTACTCACAGGCTTAGAAGAAAGCGTTAGGAACTGTGAGGCAAGACTCAAGCCTTTGCTGCGTGCTCTGCTTTCAGATGCTTTGACAATACTATTGCACTGCTAGCTGTAAAGTACAGTAGTGCAATAAAGTCAGAGCATTCGTTAGCAGCAAGAATTCTGGGCAAGTAATCAATGCACTCAAAATAGGTATCGGAAAAAATAGGTTGAGGTGATAGTGGTTTCTGTGGATCATGGAGAATTGTGTCAGGTTAACGCTCACCAAGTCCTGAGGCAGACACGCAAGAACTCGCATATTTCACGCCATTACTATCATTCATAATCCCTGGCATTCCACTGACCAAGAAGTGGCAAGGCAGGGAAAGGAGAAAAACATCCAACCAAATGCTCAACAGATCCGCCAGAAATTTCAAGCAATGCGGTGCTATTTTAACTGGAAACTACATTTCCAAGTGTATTTATTTTTTAGATTCGCCTCACAGCAAGCGAAGGTTCTAAACTGCTATCACGCAGATGTTCTTAAACTGCATTACAGGAAACATTTTCTGGACACCACAGTTTCTCATTTGCAGGTGCTGAATCACTTTAAAATGCACTTACACACATTTCCCAACACTGCGGCTGTACATTAACACCAGGGCTACCACATGGATGCTGGAGCACCATCGAAATGGGGGTGTATTTAATAAATCTCAGTGTTTCTTTTTTACAAAACCAGTGACTTCGTGTATAAGTTTAAGAACTCTAGGATTTGAAGGCGCCAAGATTCTTGACACCAGAATGCAAAGCAACAGAGGAATGGATTGGGGAGATGCTGAGTGTCACGCGCACAGAGCAACAACCTGAGTCAACTCCACGCACGTCACAGTTCTCTAGAACACACTGGAGGAAACAAGAACTCTCTACAGTGTTCCTTTCTCTTTGTGGATTCTTATTGTAAGGAAACACACAGACTTGATGGTATTTGTCATTAAAAGATCATTAACATCTCTCTTTGGCAGGTAACTAGAAGACAAATAAAAAAAAAAAATAAATTAGCGTCAACCCCATTTTATAATCGCTTTTCAAGTCACTTTCTGGTCTCAGACATACAATAGTGACTTTTGACTTGCGATTCTTATAAGAATAACGAATAATGCAGATAGTATTGCTGGCCAATGCCCTTTTAACATTGCACTGCTTTTTGTGCGTGATCACTAGTAGTACAACATAAAAAGGGCACTGGACAGACACCGCTCAAAGCAAAAAGTAGGTCCGCTATCCCAAAAATACCGTGGCACGAATTAACTCAGTTGCTCTTGGCTCACCTGACAGTTTATCCATTTGTTACCAAATTTTACTAAACGGATGTCCACACCACTTCTCTCAGCGCAGGCCGCCGAAGGCACTAGCTCAGTATGTGAAGTCCTGAGCATTAAATGTTAACGGAACAGTTATCGTACAGAAGGACACATTCATCACCAGCTACCCCCATGCCCTGTATTTTCATGACAGGCCTGACCCTACGTGTGTTGAAGCTGTTGGAAAGACCTCCAGTTCCAACTGGTGTCCATGAACACTTACACGGCACAGTCTCAGGTGCCTAAGTCCTAAAATACAGCACCCAGTATCCTTATTTAAAGTGTTAAAAAGTCAGCTTCACAATCTTATTTTGTAACGGTTCATTCAGCTCTTCTTGTTACTTGTACTTTGAGCAATAGTCCAAATAACCATCACTACATGCACATTGTTCTTTTTAAGCTCCTACAAGATAGTTTATCCCCATTTTCATGAGACTAAGATGAAGCTCTCCATGAAATGCATGTCAATACCCCTGGGGAAATAAGAAGTGTTATTTTACCAGGCTTCTGGGGAGAGAGCTGACTTCATAGGAAATCCAGGAAGAAGAACAATAAGCAGAAGGAAAAGCAAGGGACACAAAGTTGTGATATGTGAGACATAGTTGCCAACGTACATATTCTGATAAACAATGACAAAGCGAAACATTGCACTTTTGAATGAGGTTTGAATATAGGAAATAAGTGAAATTGTCTGAGGTGTATGTAAGAAAAAAATCAAAACATTTTCTTTAAAAAAAAAACAAACCCAAAAACACCCACACCCAACAAACAACTCAGGTAAAGATACGACTGCCCTGTTCCACCCAGCAGTTTTAAGGGAAGGCAGCAGCCGGGCGTACCATCTTCCACCTTCTGCCCGAAGAAATGAACAGAAGAATCAAACAGAAAAATCTAAGACTTAACACGGTGAAGTTGGTTTCACACGGATTACTCAAATGATTTGGGGTAATTAGACCAAGCTATCACCTCAAAACCTGTGGATAATTGACCCAAAGGAGCTCTCCACCTAGAAATTATTTGTGCAATGATCATTTTGGTCTCGTTGTAAAGCCGATCGTAAGACAGTCTCCCATTACGGTCTGCTACCATATATAAAAGCCCCCGTTAACTTTAAGGGGGCCCGAATACCCCTCTGACTATTTACATGTCCTAAAATGATAATCCCTTGAAAGTAAGACTTTCAATAAAACACATAAATAAGCCATAACATTAAATTAATAAATATCAACATCTAACCCAGGTACCTCTAAACAGATTTATAAATTGTTATCTCTAAACTTTACAAAAAGAAAAACCTAACAAAGGATACGGGGAGATCAAGCTTATACTATGGGCAAGGTTGAGGGTTTGAATTTGAAATTA